CGGTTCTTGGGCGGCCAAGGACCTCTGATGTTCGGGCTTAAGGCCCGTTAGGAACTTCCTGACTTTAATCCCTTCGGTGGGTACTATCTCGGGGGCGAGGCGAGCCAGTCGGCAGAATCGTCGGTAGTATTCTGAGACCGGGGCCGTCCCCTGTCTTAGATTGAGGAATTCCTCGCACATGGCGGCCTTCAGGTGGTTGGGGTAGAACTGTTCTCGTAACCGCGTCTTTAAGTCCTCCTAGTTGAATTCGGGGTCTTGCTCGTACATAGGCCCCTCGCGGGCCCACCAGTCGTCGGCCTCGTGCTTGAAATAGAAGGACGCTATCCTGATCCGGTGGCGTTCGGGGCATTGGGTCGTCCTGAACACCTTTTCGAATGTCTCAATCCATTCCTCGAGGGTTGTGGGGTCTTCGTCTCCCGAGAGGGTGGGTGGTCGATGTGCCGAGACTTGGTGGTGGATTTCCAAGTTCTCGTCTGTCGGCAGAGGTTGGGGTACGATAGTACTTAGTGTCTGGGCAATTTGGGTCAGGCGTTGTAGGGCCCGAGTCAAGATTTCTTGAGAGGGGTGTCCCGGTGCTCCTGACTGTTTCTTCTTAGGTGCCATTCCTGGCGATTAAAGGTCGATGTTATTTTGTGTTTTAATCTTGATATAATAAGTGGGGAAGGGATTTCTAATATTAGAGAGGGATAAAGTGAGGGGAGGTTATGTGTAGGTTTCACAATCTCACCGCGCGTCCTAAGATTCCTGAGTCCTATGTTCCTAAATACCTGGAGTTCAAGCTTAATATCCTAAAGTCCGGTCTTAAGAGTCTTTTCCTAGGGTCAAACTTAGGCTCTGATACCAACTGTAACACCCCTGATTTTCAAGACATTTAAAACTTAATAATAAAGGTAACATCTCATTAAATCCCAAAACGTAACATAAGTGTACGGGGTGCTATGCCACACCTGGGCTAGAGAACCCAGGTGCACAGGCTGTCTAATTACTATCCTCTGAAATATAAATGCATAATATGGCACGCAGGCCGAAAGGGAAACTATACTACTTCTACGCTCCAGTTCTAGCGCGCTCCAGTGCTCTAATCCTCTGTGCCTGAAAGCCAAATATATCTGTTCAGCGAGAGATGCTGGTAACCCACTCCAACGCGTTGAAATACATTACATATAGAGATATATATAGATATACGAAAACCATTTTGAGCATGAAGATATATCCTACGAACTCTAGCTTTAAAACCGGGAATGACTCGACAGATAAGGCCAGACACAAGCAACAGTTATAACAGTCATAAGCAGTTCATAACAGATAAGGCAAATAAGGCAAAGCATAAACAATGATCATAACCCAACATGAATAATCCCCAATATAAATCCCATAGTCACATTCCCCAAGACACTCATAATCACAACTCGTCCATATCACAACACATAACGCACGTTGTTGGCGCCACAGGACCACTCGCATGCCCATACATGCGGGTCAGCGCATATAGCTCTGACACGGCCCCACAGCACCATGCCCCGTATCGCAACACGGGGAGGCCGATCGCAACCGACCGATGAACCGCAGCTCATCATAATGTTTGATCGCAACCAAACAGTGGACCGCAGCCCAAGAGAGTATGTCATCTGACTGTAGCCAGGAATTCCCATCTGACTACAGCCAGCCTCTGAACCGCAGCTCAGGAAAGATGTCACCTGATTGCAGCCAGGAATTCCCATCTGACTACAACCAGCTTCTGGACCGCAGCCCAGGATACCGTCATCCGACTACAGCCAGGAATTCCCATCTGACCATAGCCGGCTTCTGAACCGCAGCTCAGGATAACCAATCCATTCGCAACCGAATTGGGGTAACACGCACACATAACACATAGCAAGCACAAGCAACCCACATTACACCTTGGGAAGGGGGATAAAGCGTATAACAACCTTATGCGTGATCCATCACGTACTAAGAATAGTCCTAAGGGGTTCATACTTCTTCCACCTAGGTCAACGGGGTACCAATTCAACTAGCATGCAATATAATAGACTCATAAACCTACGAACGGTACCCGAAATATCAAACTAGACATAGGCACGATAAACGGGGTCCGTTGGGACACCACGGGGATCGGGGAAACATCAAACGGGGAAGCCGGGGTCCCGAGGGGGGAAAAAATTCCAGCGGGTAGCCGGTGGGTGGTGGGCCACCCGCCGGCCACCCGCCAGTTTCTACTGTTCCAGCAGCGGGTCGCCGGCGGGCAGCTGCCCGCCCGCTGCCAGACGGCGGTTTACGGCAATGGGTAGGTGGCGGGTCCCCTACCCCCCACTGACTCTTTTCACACCCGTTACGCCCCGGGAACCGTTGTGGAACCCGAAACCATGCTTAGACACTTTACAACGCAATTAACGACAACACGTAGACAATTAACGGATCAAATACGAGAAACGAACGGCACATAACCTATCATGCTTTTCTAAACATAATCAACACCCAAACATGCGATTTCCCCCACCCGATAATCCAAGAATAAGATCATACGATACAACCTAGGGTTCTAATCACTTTTATATCAACAAGAATACGGTTCGTCTTCTAATTGCAAGATTCGGTAAGAATAACACATAAACATCGAGGATGCCAATTAATCATCAAGAACGTCATAATCATCAAGAACAACACATAATCATCAAAATCCCAATTAATCATCAAGAACATCATAATTATCAAGAAACTCCCAATATCAAGATTATCAAGATTCCCCATGGGATAATCAAATCAACATCAATAATAATTACCATAATATCGCCATTCACAATAATATGGGGGAAACCCTAAGGGGAAATCATAGCTATGAAAATAGGTTTTGTTGAGACATGGGTTACCTCTTAGCCTTAATTAATTCCTTGGCTATGAAGGATCTTTCTTTAAGCTTTCTTGCTTTCTTGATTTCTTCTAAGAGAATTCTTGGAGCTCTCCTGGGGTGATGGGGCGTCTAGGCGTGTGGGAGGGGGTTCTAGGTGCTCCCTAAGTTCCCTATTTATAGATCCAAGGGTTTATTTAGAGTTTATTCCTATTGGGTTTAGGGGTCGGGTTTATATAATTGGGCCCATGGGCTATGGTGGCCTTTTTCCCTAATTAACCATTTTATTCTTTCTCCTGGGTTATTAATTAATTAATCAGTTGGTTTTAGGATCCGTAACACGGGGTGTTACATATAGATACTGGAATCTCAGTATCTGGCGCCATTAACAGCATATCTCTCCAGTAGATTACCCGTCCTTCATACCTGAATAGTTCCTGCTCACTGGTAATAATGTATTGTATAAGCAACAAAAATATTAATACATCATTATTAAATCATACACCGAAGTTATAGCAGTAACACACCATTAGAAGTTAATATTTCATTTAAAGAGAATACACCAATATCTACTATACTAATAAGAGCCCAAGAGAGTTAGGCCTATAATGGGTAGAAAAAGTGTCCGTCAGAGATTTTAATCAAATGAATGGCTCAGATTAATCGAAAAATTGATCAGATTAAAATTTTACAATGAGATTTACTTAAATACCCACACACCGTTAGTCCATCCGTTAAAATTTTAAATTCACCGTTAATTTGCCGTTAAGTCAATCTCACCTTTCATCCGTTTAGTATATATCTTTTGTGGGTTGGTTTCCTGAATGAACTGAATCTCATCAGCAGCCGACAGAGCAGAGGATATCTCTGGAGTCTGCTCTCCCCACCCATAATCAGTACAGTCCAAGGAATTCACGGGCGGTTTTTGTTCCAAAACACTCATAGGATCATAATAGCTATTGTCCATGCTACTTGCATTAGGTTGAACAGTCTTAGGAACCACCTTCCGTGGATTCACCTTAACGGTGCGCCTAGACGATTTTGTTTGAGTTTCAAAAGCCGCAGATCGCAGGCCTCCGGAATAGTAGCTTCCTGCAAAATTCTTCTTCTTCTTCCCACATGCGCTGCTCCGATCAGCGATTCCCCATAGCAACTCAGAGGTCAGCCGGCGCGATGTCCGGGCCGGCGGTTTGATATCGGAGATTATTGCACCACCAAACAAAACTCCTTCTTAGATTATACTAATAGACCTCCTTCCTCTGATCCCTCGATTTCAAATACCCCATTTAGAAAAGGTTAGTTTTTTTATTAAAAACAATAAAAATCCCATCTTGTTTTTCCCCTTTCTCATCCGTTGATTAAACTTCATTCTTGGCAATTTCTGTTGTTGTGTGCCCTAATACAAGTTTAGGGCATAAAATTTTAAATATATACTAATATATTATGATAGAAATTGCAACTGCAACTCATGAATACTATGTTTTGAAGGAAACTCTGGTGGTGGTGGGCGTGGAATGCGTCTTGCTAAAGAACCTGATGAGTTTGTGAAGTTATTACAGGTGTGTTTATCATAACCCTATGGATACTCATATATTCATATATCACTATATTGTTGCATGGAGCATCTTGGGAAATTGGTGCATATATAATATTTATATTTAGCTTTAGGTAACCTGAACCCCAGAACTTCTGGATTTTTGGTAATTCATTGAAGAAAATTTCTGAAATTATCTTATAAGGTATCTTCCGGTCAATTCGAGGTATGTGTTTGGATTTCTTGTTGGATATTTGTGTGTCTCAATTTCTTCTCTTCACCATCTTCGGAGGCAACAATCCAAACCTCGTCTAAACTCAGCCTTGGGTTTTCCATTGCTAGAGGAAGTAATAAGAAAGAGATTATAAAGACCGCACCAACATGGATTCAATAAAGACAATATAATTACTTCCTCTAGCAATGGAGATTCCTTAAGCTTGTTCCAACTCATTGATTTCTTCTATAATATCTACTATACAAAGATTGTACAGTTTTTCACTTGGAATATGTACAATTGAATTATTCATACTGTATATAGTAATGCTAATCATTCCCTTTGTATTTGGGCAGCAAACTCCTTTGAGACGAAACAACTGAGTGGCATTCTAATCTTAGTTAATATCTTATGTTTTATGTTCTTCTTGACTCTTCCTTTTTAATTTTTATCCTAAATTTCTTTTTTGCTTTCAGGCTGTCAAGAAAGTCGCTGATGCAAACTCCTAAGATTTTAGGCTTATAAATACAAGCAGGTAGTACAAGCAGCTATGTTATACTCTTTCTGTAGAAATTATTTATTCATGATCTTTCTTAGGAATAGTAATACAAGTGGCAAACTTTAGGCACACAGTAATACAAGTGGCAAACTTTAGGCACTAAACATTCAATTTCAACATTTCATTGTAGTATCAGTGTGCCATCTCAATTCTGAATTCAATATGAGTTTGCATGATAGCCTTATTTTACTGGAAAATAGATCTTTCTTTGACTTATTAAATGGATTATTATGTGCTCTTTGGAAACCAGGGTTTGGGGTTTTCCTCACATTTTCAGGGATCCTACCTGTCAAATACACACATTGTGCCTGTGATTTTTGAATTACTTACATTGGTGTAATCTATTTGAAGAAATAGAATTTCCTCAGATTCACCTGTAGACATTGATTTGCAAGATCCATTAGATTAAATTATTGCTCTTTAAATTTAGTAGCATGAAAAGGGGCTTATGGATAATGTTTTCCCTAATCTTATTGTCTCAATTAATATTTCCCCCTTCCTCTCATGAAATTGAGTTTGAGGGGAGATAGAACTCTACTATATACTTATATTATATACTGTTTTCTGTTTATTTTATTTTATTTTATTTTATTTTATTTTATTTATTGTAATTTTTGTGGACATGGGTGATGATTACATATGCAGAATATGATGTTAAACAGCTCGGAAATCATGTCCTATGCATCAATCCTAGCTTCAGATTTCAATCAATAGAAATGCTTAGTGTCCATTTACTCACCTAACTGCATTCTTTTTTTCTTTTTCTTTTTTTTTGTTTTTTTTTGTTTTTTTTTTTTTTTTTGTTTTTTTGTTTTCAATGCTATTCTGAACTTTAGCAGGAAGTTGTACCTCACTACTATTCATCATCAAAATTTAATAGAAAGTGTTGTTAAATCATACCATGTACCCCTTGTTTCTTTTAGTTCACAGATTCTGCCCACTGACTTGAAGGAATGAAGGGTTATATTACATTATTACTTATATTGGGTTTATATTATAAATATCAAAATGCATTAGTTATAAAATGTTTTATGTATATATTGGTCAGGCTGATTGAGTTAGTGGATTTTCGGATATACCCCTATGTATAGTTCTAAACATTCTTATCAGGGATTTTATTATATGTCAATTAAGGCAGCAATTGATAGATTTTAGACATGGCATGGGGATAGTTTGCTTTTGACATTTTAGGTAGAGAACTTAGATTTATTGGTTTAGCACATTTGTTTGTTTAATGTTATTGATGAAGAAAGGAATATTAGCTCCTTCCCATATACCCTCCAACAGCAAGACAATCCCATTACACAGTAGCTCCTTTCCCTTTTCTGATTTATCCTTGCTGCAGTCCCAGAGATCCAGAGACTTCATCCCTTTTCCATAGCATATGCTTTTCATTCCCAGAATTCTAGAAATCTAAAACTGAGACCAATCAACATGATATGTCATCTCCCATAGAGGGATCCATTTCATGGAAGCATCAAAACACCACTCTAAAAGCTTCATTTTGATGTTGCAAAGCAGAGAAATCCATAATTTTCCTCCTCCCCAGCTTAGATGAAGTTCATATGCAGAGACAACAGTAGGTCATGCCTGTTTGCGTAGCAGTACTAGGTATAATTGGCCTGCCTGCTCGATCTCTTAAGAATCTCCATCATCAATAACCTGTCAAACCAACGATTGTCTCTCGTATTCTCTTAGATATAGCCGGTACTGTATATTTGAGAACCAAAACGGTTAAGGTAGAAGGTATTACCTTCAAAACAAAAGATTTTGAATACTTGTGCACATAATATATGAGAGAATTTGCTTTGTCGGTTTTTTCTGTTTATAGTTATGACCATTTTTTGAATTTTTCATTTTTTAGCATCTCTCTTTATGGAGTCTGGGTGTTCTGGAATTGCTTAATCTAGCGATGCAGAGAGTCAACGAGCGGAGAACAACTTGAAACGACGAAATGCATACTCAAGAATGGATCCTAATAAAAAACGAAAGATGTTAGATGAGAAAAACGAAAAGCGTCGAGCCAAGCTTAGGGAAGCCCAGTCTTCACAACTTCATGCCATCAATACTGGTATGCTTTTTAATTCTTAAAATATGTCTTTTGTCTGAGTTTAATTCATGAACGTATATACAAGGGAACTAACTTATTTAACATGCCTTTGATTGATACAATTGATTATGCAATTGATTATGCAATTAGAAATAGTACTCAATAATTCTAATCACGAATGTTTGCAACAGAACGATACTCTTTCTTCTATTCCAGACCAATCTTTTGTTCTTAAAGATTGTCATCCTTGCACCTATTGTAATGCAAGGCGATTCCAATATGAACCACCTGGATTTTGTTGCTCATCTGGTCAAGTTGTTTTGGTGTCTAATGAAATGTCTTCACTCTTGAAACAATTGTTTTGTGAGAAAGATGAAGTGTCACGTCATTTTCAAGCATGTGTTAGAACGTATAACAACACATTTGCATTTACTTCATTAGGCATACACAACTACGACAAACAATTATCTAGGAGGAATAAAAGGATTTATAAATTTAAGGTTCAAGGACAAATGTATCATTTTATCAATGATTTGGTGCCAGGGGACCAACCTCCTAAAAACTTGCAATTGTATTTCTTTGATACTGACCATGAGGTTGAGAATAGAATCAAAGGGGCAGAACGAATGGATGCAAGTGTTGTTGAAAACCTTATTGACGTACTTGGAAGCAATCCGTATTCACAGTTATTCAGAAATCTCAAGGATATATCAAGTCTTGATGATTGTAATATTCTGATTCGTTCAAATGCAAGTCTAGATCAACGTGTTTACAACATGCCTACCTCTTCTCAAGTTGCAGCAATTTGGGTAGATGAACAAGATGGTAGTGGTCAGAACAATCGTGATATTTGGGTGAAAAGAGAGCGGTGGGTACTCCAAGGTTAGTATCAATTCAACAAACCAATTTTACAAAACACACACACACACACAAGATTAAGTACTATACTCATTCATACCAATTCCAAAAATACGAACTACAAAATGCACAGGTGCAAATTGGATGTGGAAATTGTTGATGAAACTAGGCACATTGCGGCATCAGTATTCGGACTACTTGCAGAGTCATTGTTGTTACATTCAAGTAAACAAGTTATGGAACTAGAACAGGAGGTACTATTCATGAACCTTCTACAAATATATTAATATTTCGTTTAATTATGTCACATGAGAATATATGCCACACATCTCACAATGAATGAAATATGTAGGGAAAAAAACTACCACTGGTAAATATCAACAAGCGCCTACAAGATCAAGAGTTCGTTGTACAACTAAGATCTCAGGCATATACACAACAAGGCAGATCCACTTCTTCCTACAGTATAATCTCATTGCATGATGCTTCCCACTATGATATTACAACTAACACAATTGAACATGACGCACTACCAAATCAAACGAAGAGGATGTGTACTGAAGGTGAAGATCAAGATAATGACAATGCCCCCCTCAAGAGAATTAAGAAGGCTTAGAGAAATTTATTAAACAAAATGTAGATTTTATTTACACTATTAATTTTTGACTAGCATTATTTACACTATTATTTTTAGATTAGACTATGTATTTAGAAAATTACAATCAATTATTTTAGTCACAATTATAACCAATCATAATTGCATTATCTTACATTCGTAAGTTTAGAATTATCTATTTAAATAACCAAATTCAACATTGGATTATCTATATGTATGACCAACTCTAATATAATCTTGCATTGATATACTAAAAGTACTTATATAAAAATATAAACATTGGGCATTATCTCAATCGCGCAATGCGCGTGAAAAACTAGTATATAGAGATATACACTAATAACTATTGAGTATCACACAAAACCTAAGCAAACTAATGTGACCACCTGATGTGTCAACACAGACAACCATATAAACACACCAATAGTTATCAAATAATGCACTAGTTAATATATGATAATTATACACCAATATTATTATACAATGCACCAAATATATCTTAGAAATACACCAAGTAGAATGTGTTGTGCTTATAGTTCTGGGTTAGGGTTTTCTAATACCCATTGTCTGATTGATTCCTCTGTTGAAGTTATTGGGGCTTCCAGATCAGTTGCATATATTCGGGCCTTAGGTCTGATTGGGTTGTTCCCTCTAGCTGGTCTCTTTCCTTTGTCCAATGGTTGGGGTGGGGGTGGTGGATCTGAAGCAGGCCCCTCTTGAATTTGGTCTGCCGGTGTGACCTGTAACATTTAGATTTTAATTTCTTTTCTTTTTGTCACGTCGCCAATTTAATACAGTGCATTACCTCATCATTGTTATCAGCAGGTGCATCTGGTTCAGCACTCTGTCCATCTTGTTGTCCTTCAGATGCTTCCACTACTACACAGCAGGCTTTTAACGTCGGCTAAATAGACCTTTTAACGTCGGCTATGTACCGTAGTTGTTGCGCCCGTCGTTGTAAATATTATTTTTAACGTCGGCTATATAAATAGCCGACGTTATATCTTATTTAAAAAATAAATAAATAAATACTTACAACGTCGGCTATTAGCATTTAGCCGACGTTGTAAGTATTTTAAAAAAAATCAAAATACTTACAACGTCGGCTATTAGCATATAGCCGACGTTGTAAGTATTTAAAAAAAATTAAAATACTTACAACGTCGGCTAAATTCTAATAGCCGACGTTGTAGGTGTTTTAATTTTTTATAAAAAACCTACAACGTCGGCTAATAGCATTTAGCCGACGTTGTAAGTATTTTAATTTTTTTTTTTAAATACTTACAACGTCGGCTAAATGCTAATAGCCGACGTTGTAAGTATTTATTTATTTTTTTTTTAAATAAGATATAACGTCGGCTATTTATATAGCCGACGTTGTATGTTTTTTTTTTTTAATATACAATTTATTTGTCCATTTATACCCAAAAACCTGCTCAAATCTACTCACAACCACAACCACAACCTAAACCTACTCAATTTCTCACAACCACAACCAAACCTGCTCAATTATTGCACCACAACCACAGCAAAATATGTAAAATCTAATATTTATAATGAAACAAGTAATAAATCTCACAATTTGATACTAATTAATAATACAAGTTAACATTATCAAAAGCTAATATCAATTTGTTCAATTTACATACTTAACCATACATCAACAAAGAAGTCGGCCCATACGTCTCTTACTTCATCAATTTCTTGTTGAGTGTAGCTCGATCTACCAACTCTCTCAACAATCTACAAAGTTGATAATTATTAAATAATTATTAAATAATTAGTAAGCTAGCATTTATAATAATGAGCGTAGCACACAAAATGACTAAGAGAACAAAAACAAAATCATAATATAGTCAAGATTGACATACCTTTCGGGCAAGCTTCTCCAGTTTCTCCTGCTCAGTTTTCTGCATCAGTAAAGGGAGTAGTGTAAGGAATTTAGAAATATAGAATAATAGAATAATTTGCCAAGTACCAAGCAACTTCTAAATCTTGTGAGGGGAGATCCATTTCTATATCTCTTCATTCAGTTCATTCAAGAACAAATGAATTTGTTGACAATTATGTGATGCGTGAATTTCAAAATGCTGAAATTGTTTTCTTCAATGCCATTTTCAACAGTGCCTGTAATAGCCTGTCTATCATTTTCTAAGTCATATTTTTTAAAAATTCTTAATCAATTTAAAAAGGGACAAACACAGCACATTATAATCAAATGAGATGCAGCATCTACGTCAATGCATTTCAAGAACCATCAGAACTTTCCTGTTGAACGCTTTCATGCAAAGCATCAATAAGTAGTCCGTACATAGTATTATGAGTTATGTTAACAACTTAACATATACCAACAGACACTACCATGTACAAGAATACACCACTCAGATATAAGGCATACCAATCTACTGCTGTAACTTCTCCTTCATGACTATTCAGTATAATGGGATCTGCAAGAGGTTTCCTTATCTGCATTGAATGATCTAATGCTATTAACCATCACATTAACATTTAACAATCCCTTGATGGAATGTTTAGAATGAAGATAATTACCTGCCATATGTAAGCATTCCCATCACTAGAGCCGCTTAATATGTGAGCTGCATCAGGGCTTATTGATGACTGCAATTTGCATCAATCGGCATCAGTCTCTTTAGAATATATATATATATATATATATATATATATATATATATATAGCAGCTTTCTTATAGTCTAAATAGTAAGAACTAAAAAGTAACCATCACTTACCTTCATAAAAAAAAAAAGAATCAATTCGGCATCCAGAGAAAGTTTTCACTGGCCCTTGTTCTAGCTGAAGTACATTGTATAGGTATATTCTGAAAGACATTTTAGAAGGATTGGAATTTCCAATTAAAATAATTAAATGCAAGGCAATGCAGAGATAAAGACTCCATTTAAATCTTGAGATAAACTAAATGTCCCATGCAGCTTTCTTTCCTGAACAAGGAGAGAGAATCGATAAAAGATTGCTTACAAGAACATCCTCAATTTCAAGCTAATGGTGCAGCTAAAGACTTACCTTCTCAGCTGACCCTTCTGAATGAGGGCATGCCTGACTGATAGGAGATTTCAGACTCCTTGTGTCCCAAAACTTTATTACACTGGAATTTGAAGAAATAAAAATTAGTAAATAACAATGGATAATCACATGATAAGCTTCTACTGAGTGCTAATTGTTTAAATTATCATTGCAAAGTTTCTAAGGCAGTAGCTATGGAGACCTCATCCTTTAGATGTAGAACAGATGTGATGCTCATAGAAAAAGCCTGAAATAAATAGGGCTTACTTAGAATAAAATCATATTAGCAAATATAAGAACAAAGTGAATCATGTAAGAAAAGTTGTCAAGGCAAACCTTTCTACGTCTACCCCGCCTTTGACAAGGAGAAATGTGCGCCTCATGCACCATAGCAATTGATCTGAACAAAGATAGAATATTGATTCAATTCATTCAAATCCTCTGAAAGTGACTCAAGGCCATATAAAATATGTTATTCTTTCCTGAACTTGACTGTTCATTTGTAATGCAAAAAACTTTATGCATTGTGTTTAGAACATTCTTGTACACCATTAGTATTCATAAGACTCAAGTACTTACTGTAGACAAAGTTTTTTGCCACTGCTGTCATTGCACCTCAAATCCCATAGAGCAAAGGACCCTAAATTGACAATGGGGATACCTAAATTGACAATAACAGAACCAACTTTGTATGGGCAAATGTGTACATAAATTTGTTAGATTTGATTAAAGCAGGCATTCAAGTATCCTTTAACATATCAATTATTACCAAATGACCTTAATGTAAAATGTCAACAGCCAAAAAGAGCCTCATTGTGAAACATGTTTTAAGATGACAAACAAAAACAAATTTATAGAAGAGTTACTCACACTTTGATCACCTCATGCTTTTCAATCTGCTCCAGACACAAACCTAAGAAATAGCAAAAGGAATGCAGATTTGAAAGAGAAGCATGTCAGCAGGAATTTCAGTAAATGGATCTGACAGACTGCCAAACAAAAGAATGGTGTTGTTAAACAAAAATATTACACAAAGAATAGCAAGAAGAAAAGCCAATGTCAAAGGTTCTCCTCTAGTGTACTTTATAGTACAAACATCCAGCCACCATCCACACATCAAAGGGAAGACCCCAAGTTCAATTACAAGAAGAAAAGCAACCTTGATCATAGTCATCAGATGTCTCATTGCTGCCACAAATTGCCTGAATAGGGAAGGAATAGTTTATGCAATGGATGCAATTCCATAAAATCTCCCCAATGTCAAATGTTCTCCTCTAGTGTACCGAATTAAAGCAACAACTCCAGGATAGAAAAAGACCATAAAAAATATAAACATATATCCAACAGCAAGAGTGGTAACATCAGAAAGTCGTGATGCCCTAATAGATGCCCCTTTCAAACTATCAGCTGAAACTACTGTACTGATCACCTGACACTTCATTTAATCCTGTGGCATTTGATTTCATCGTTTCTGCTACTTGGCCAAGCAAATTATTCTCCTGGTTGTGTTTGCAACAGGAGTCATAGCACTCTTTAAAGTGATATTAGCCAAAAAAAAAAAAAAAAAACAAATTCAAGTCCTACTTACCTACAACCAACATTTACAAAGTCAAAACCATAATTTACAAGCACAGAGCATTAAAATAATTTCAAATTTATAACCAATAACTTATAAAATTCAAAATATATACTAATAATTCCTAAAATTCGAAATACAATTACCAAATAAACTCAAATATATTTATTATAATTCAAATATATTTATTATAATTCAAATAAAAATTAGAAATTAGAAAATTTAAATAAATAATTTAAAAAAAAAAAGAGGCGTCGAACCTCGGAGATTCGGGAAGGCATGCGGCGGTGTAGCGGTGCGGCGGAGATGCGCGGTGGCTGTGGTTGTGCGGTGGGTGGCTGTAGCTGTGCGGGTGAACCTCGAGGCGTCGAACAGAAGGCTTGGGCGGTGGGAGGTGTGGCGATGGCTGTGACGCTGGGCGGTGTCGCGGTGGCGGCGACGTCTGGTGTCTAGGAGAGCGGTGGCGACGTGTGGTAGTGGCGGTGAAGGGCGATGCGGTGAAGGGCGACACAGTGGAGGCGGGGAAGATGAGTCGAGGCGGGGAAGATGAGTCGTAATATCCAAATAAATAAAATTTTGCGTTTGTTAGAAGGGTTTTAAAGAGCCTACGACATCGGCTATTAGTTAATAGCCGATGTCATAGGGTTAAATAAATTTAAAAAATAAAATAAAATAACTTATAACGTCGGCTATTAAAATAGCCGACGTTGTATTATACTTATTTTTTTATTTTTTATTTGTAACATATAACGTCGGCTATTAACTAATAGCCGACGTTGTATATATTTTTTTTATAAAAAAAATTAGAAAAAACTTTTAACGTCGGCTATATATATAGCCGACGTTAAAAGCCCGACGTTGTATGTGAATTTTGTAGTAGTGTTCTTCACCCTCATTCATGTTCAGCTCTACTTCCTCATTTTCTGCAGCCTGATCAATGTTTTGGTAGTCTCGTGCAATACCATTCACGTCCGCCCATTGTCTATTTTGTTCACCTGGTGTCAATCCAAGGCTGAAAGATGGCATATCATTTAGAAAATTTCTCTTGTTTACTGCACGGACAATCTCATCTACTGCGTTCAAGAACTCAGGGTCACTCCAGTAGGCATCCTCTCGTTGAGTAAAGGTCAGTTCTCCATCATCTTGTGCTCTGAATCCAAGCATTTGCCTAGCAGATTCAAACATCTGTTTGAATGTATCATGCTCCAATACTGCTGCAGGTGCATTTTCAATTAGCTTTGATATTCTCAGCAGACTCTGTGCAATTGACCTAGTGTGGGTGGTAATCTCAATAACAAACTCCTGTACATGAAACACTATAGTATAAACACACCAATACATATTGTAATATACACCAAATATTTATAAAAAATACACCACAGTCAGATAATGCACCATATTACACACAAAATGCACCAATTACCATTGCAGTGGTTGGGTTACCTGTAATCCTTGTGGCAGTGGTGGGGTCTCTTCTTGTGGTGGGGGTGGAGGTGGGGCTTCACAGTGTGTTGTGATCTCCAGTGGTAAGGCAGTATCAACGCGTCCATATCCAAATCCTCCAGACTTGAGCTCATCCTGTTGTCGTTGTCGGAGCAGTTTAAATGTCCAGCTATTCATGGCAGGGTAGCTTCTTGGGACAGACCTCCGATACAGCACCACACGGTCAACATAGAATACCTGCATTTGGTAGTTTAGATTATTCATAGGGTGATGTGAAAGTAATTACAATCTTGTTGAGTGTCTATTTACCGTTAGGAAAACAATTGGACCTCCAAACCTTCCATCACAGCTCTCCAGCCATGCCTTTTTGCTTGCAATGAGTGAATTGATCAGCATTCTACACCAATTGAGCCTCTTGATGTTGTCAACGTGACGCAAGTTGTCAATGTAGCTTTGGTTCACATAACCATTTATCTGTGGCTCCACCAGCACACTCATAACAAGTAGTGCAAAATGCCGTTTGAACCATGGGTCAGCAGCTCTCAATGTCAACATTTTTTTAGCCATCTTGCGTGGGGTGATGTGGCCGTCAGCCCTTCCAAAGATTTTTCTCCAGTCTGCCAGGAGATCAGATACTGCTTTACTTTCCCTCTTAGTGATTTCTATGTCTCCAAGCGGCAGTCCCAATGTCACAGCAACATCTTCTTCTGTGATCTGTAGTTTTTGGCCATTTTGCAGATTCAATGTGTTGCTCCTTGCATCATAGTTTTCAACCAGCCACATCCCCAGTTTCCTTAGAAGGTTTGTGATTTTGAGGTCAAGAATCCTTCCCAGCCCAATGTCTTTTATACTCTGGCGTTGTTGTTTGGTTAGGGCATTAATGGGTTTTGTTAGCTGTGTTGGCAGTGGCCTTATCTTTAGGTCAGTATCTTCATTCTCTTGCTCCAATGTATCTATTTCATCATTTGAGCTGTCATCAACTTCTTGTTCATGCACTTCTTCATCTGTCTCTGTTTCATCTTCTATTCTGTCAAGGAATGCCATTGCTTCTTGTTTTCTATGCCCCCGTGGCTTTGACGAGTCTCCTTGGTCTAATGCCTTTCTCTTGTTGTCTGAAATACACAGATGGTAGGACAAAAATACACCATGCATAAAAATTAAACACACCACAACACTCTTTACCAATATTCAAGTTCCAAATCTCAGAAATCACCAATAATAAATGATATATACACTACATTGATGTTCACCATAAAACAAAACAACACGTAATGAAATGCCCAGCCTGTAATGCTCAAAAATACACCGACTGTAGGATAAATATGCACAGTGTACAACAAATAAACTCACAACAAATTTTTCACCAGTATTCAAGTTATACATTACAGAAAACACCAATAATAAACGAAATATACACCACAGTAATGCTTATCATAGACAGACAACACGTAACGAGATACAACAAATTCATAATATGAAATACACCAACGGTAGGATAAATATGCACTGTGTACAAAAATTAAACACCCAACAGTTTTTTCACCAATATTCATGTCACAAATACCAGAAAACACCAATAATAAACGAAATATACACTACATTAATGTTTATAATGCACAAATAACATGCAATGCGATGCCCTAGTCTGAAATGTTCAAAAGAATACAGCGATGGTAGGGTTAACATGTTAGTTGACACATTGAAGTTAAATATTACAGAATACACTAATAATAAACAAAATATACCATTGCATGCTCGTTGCTTGCCTTTGTTCGCCATTTGTGTGCTTTGTAGCGAATCAGTGTTGTAGAAGACGGTTCGTGTCCCTCTCAGAACGCGGTGGTGTGTTCGGGTACAGTCTCCTCGCTGTTCGTCGTTGAAGTTTCTCGTCGTTGTAGTGGTTCGCCTTGCTTTCGTCGCCGGAGCAGGAGCAAGTTGGAGAGGGTTCGCGACTTCGGGATTGTGAATAGGGAGATGGGACGGGGTGTTTACTTGCAGAAGTGGAGAAGTGATCAGTTTGAATTGAACGAATGGACAATTTTGCCCTCTATGTCGCAGTGATCTTTAAGTGAAGCGCGAAATCATCTCAATTATGGTGCGTTGGATTGGACTTGATCAACGGATAGAAAATGACCTCACCGCCTCACCTTAGTGTACAGCCGCACCTAATCTTGCCTCTATATATATATATATATATATATATATATATATATATATATATATATATATATATATATATATAGGCGGGTTCAGGTGCGGCAGTGTATTACGGTGCGGCAACACCAATAGTTCACCAAATATGCACCATCAACGTTAGGAAATACACCACACAAAACAGAGTAAACAGAGCCCTGCATCACCAAACACACACCATTAGGTGTGAGTAAAAACACCATACACTGTTCGGAAATACACCATTGGGGGTGGTGAGTTATATGGTGTGTTTTTTTGAGTCTGGTGTATTTTGTGATGTTTTATTACATTTCATTGGGGTGTGTTTTTATTACACTGTTGGTGCATATTGTTAACACTGTTGGTGTATTCTGGAATTTGACCGCACCGCCGCACCGTAAGACCCCGCCGCATATGAGCGCTCTTCTATATATATATATATATATATATATATATATATATATATATATATATATATATATATATATATATATATATATATATATATAGGGTAGGGTTCCAGTGAGAACATGTGTTTAGGTGAGAACATGAGAACACATCATGTGTATTCATCTAATATTTTTTAATGGTATACATTAGATTAAGTGTGTGCGAACGCGCATTAAATGTGTGCAAACACACTTAATCGCATTTGCACACATTTAATGCGCGTTCGCACACACTTAATCTAATCTAGACCATTAAAAAATATTAGATGGATGCACACGATTTGTTCTCACATTCTCACCTAAACAGGTGTTCTCATATGATCTTAAATCTATATATATATATATATATATATATATATATATATATATATATATATATATATATATATATATATATATATATATATATATATATATATATATAGAGAGAGAGAGAGAGAGAGAGAGAGAGAGAGAGATAGAGGGTTGCATTCAAAAACCCCCTTAAAATACAAACCACCCTTAAAATACAAACTTGCGCTCGTGCACACATTAACATACTTACTTGCACACAGGGCACACTGCCAACAATTTTTGGGATTAGCACGTGCACACATTAACATACTTACATGCACACAGCGCGTAGGAGGAAAAAATCAGGACCGTCCAATACCACCATCCAACGGCGTCAAATTGTCCACAGGTTTGTATTTTAAGATGTGTTTTTACCTGAATGTAAATCTATATATATATATATATATATATATGTTAGGAATATTTGTAATAAGATTTTGATGAGTCAAAATGTATTTTCTTATTGAAAAATTAATTTCCCAAAATTTCATTGTAAAAATGTATTAAAAATAGTCTAAGTGTCAAAACTTGGAAGAATTCTTGAGGTGAAGCAAAAATTGATTGAAGATGGAGTTACAAGTTAATTCTCGGAAGAATTTAAATTAGAGCCTAAATTAGAGAAGAAATTATTTTTTAACCAAGTGGCTTGCAGAAGACCGGAGAAGCATTGTTCAAAGAACAAGCTTGAGCTACTCACAAGTCCCAGGTTAATTCGAATCCAAGCAGAATTTTTCTGTATCAATGATTGCAACAATTAAGGAGGCGAAGTTGCATGAATTAATTCAAGAGATGAGGTTAGCGGTGAGGTTGCACAAATAAAATAAAGAGGGGGGAATTAAGTAATTATGGAGGTGAGGGGAATTAATTAATTAAGGAGGTGAGGTTGCACAAATTTGTTGTAATGTTGTTTGTGCCCGTTAGCTCCTGCCGGTGAGTTGTAGCATTTGTATCAATAATATAAAAGATAAAAGTAAAAAATAGAACAAGAGATATGGGTGAAAGAGGAGTAAAGATTTCATTATACCAACCCCACATTTGAGTACAAGGAAGTGATATATATAATACATTTGTAACGGAAAGCAGTAAATGATAGATATAAATATGAGCGTTACAACTGTTACAAAAGCTACTCATAATGTCCACATTATTAATATCATTTATAACACTCCCTCTTGGACATTATTTGGCCACGACCTTGCCTCGTTAAAAACTTGTTAGGAAAACCCGGTGGGAAAAACCTAGACAAGAAAAGAGTACAATAGAAAATATATTCATGCCTCATTAAAAACTTCACTAGGAAAACCACGTGGGAAAAAACCTAGTTGAAGAAAAGAGTACATGATATATGTAAAAACATATATTGTATTTGGTCACCTCATTAAAAACCTTAACTTAAGAAAACCCTGTGGGAAAAACTTAGTTAAGGGAAAAAGAGTACAACCATAAACCTTCAGGGCGCAAACCGCATAATCTTCAGGATTTTGGGGTTTGTCTATTTAAGCAATTATTTTGCAACTTTTCCTCATTGTCATTACTATATCATACTCATGCCTCGTTAAAAACCACACTAGAAAACCCAATGGGAGAAAACTAGTGAGGAAAAGAGTACATGATATTTATGTATTTATTCGTTGCAAATAGTGCGCAATTGTTAGTCTTTTATGACTTAATCTTCAGGATTTTACGTTCAATCTTCCAGATTGATTAAGTAAATGTATTTCCCGTTGTGTTGCAAATAGTGCGTAACTGTTAGTCTTTTATGACTTAATCTTTAGGATTTTACGTCCAATCTTTCGAATTGATTCGAGTAAATGTACTTCCCGTCTCCCCCTGAAGATAACAATCTTCAAGTTCTACATATATTTCAAAATTTGAAGAGATGAATTGGACAAATCTTCTGGATTGTCTCTAGAGTAGTGTACAATAATCTTATAGCTCTTCTAGAGCTCATATAACATTTGTGCAACACAAGTGTTATTGTCCTCATTTTGAACATTTTGAGAAATTCATTGTATAACGAGTTTGGACTTAGCATTGCGGGGATCAAACAAAACAGCCAGTACTCAAGTATCCTATTAAAACCGTATCATGGTTTCTTACATAAATGTCATGTCTTTGTATCTCGAAGATACCGGAGGATATGTTAATCATTATTCAAGTACTTCATTTGTAGGGGGAGCACTAAATCTTGCTAGCAATTTCATCGCAAATATGTTGCGATTATGGAACTTCTGGTTCTATAATGGTGCTCCAACGATAATGAAGTAAAAAGGTTCCTTATCTGCTTCAAGAGATTATTAGGCAACCTTTAGTTTGATAAAAAACATGACACTTATATGCATATAGACATGTGAAAAAATATTTTTAGATGTAGGCTGACTGGTGTATATATAAAAAAAAACTTCAAAGAAAAACTCGATCTTCAAGTCGAGATAATACTTATAGCTTTCACAAGCTTTTTATTTCAAAAGTCTCAGTCTTTAAACATGAACTGACATTATCAAGCTCTTTATATATTTCATTAATGTTTACACCATCAATTTTGACTGAGATAATAAGTTCATTATCAACCCTTTATCGAGCACACAATGGTACATATTATTCCTTCAATGGGGATATTAACTCCATTCGCAACCCTTTAAAGAGTAAATAATGACACTTAATAATACTAAATAAATCCTCATTCGGAAATTATAAATCCATCAAGGATTTCTCATAGATATTTTGTAGGTATACATTTGCTAACTTGTCATTGGAGCAAATCTTCTGGACAAATATTTTATCACTCTTCTGGAGTTCATGTGGATCACGGTATTTTATATCATGAAAAACTATATACGTTTTTATTTGTTCAAAGTATGATGACTTCATGTCAAAAAGCATCAATATGAATATTTGTACCTTGACTTGCTATTTCTTATCTCATCTCATAACTTAACAGTCGCTATAACCAAGCGAGAGCATAGTAGAGTAATGATGAGATGAAAATGTACAAAGTACATCTTTAAGAACAACTATTATTCTTTAGGCTTAAGATGCTTTAAAGCTTAAATTGATTTATAATATATCAATCCAAGTCATGACATTTAACAGAATGTCAATATTCAAATGACTTCTCGAAAGACATATTGTATACCCTAAGGATATTAATTTAACATCATTTCCTTTTCTTTCTAGGAGAGTCACCAAATCACTCTTTACAAAAATAATACGCGAATTGGGAATTATCTGTCTCAAAGAAAAGGTATTTTTAAAAAAATGATATTTTGAAGCAGCGGACTTCTGGCCCTGAATTATCCTTTTAGGTTAAAATGGTCCTTTATCTACTTCGGGAGATTATTTGGGCATAGGTTAATTAGTATATGAAATTCCTTTTAAGGAAATGCTCGATCTACAGGTCGAGATAATACTTGATTTTTCATCTCCTTTATTTTACAATAAGCCCCTTAATAAGTACCTAATGGTACATATTATTTCTATAATTTCCTTATTTCAGGAGGAAATTACTCAATCAATTGCTTCACTATTTTAAGTTTGAGTAAAACAATTGTACTTCAACAACAAACGTGTTGTGATATTTACTCTCTTTCATTTTTGAGAATTATAAATCCAACAAGGATTTTCATATAAACATTAGTGTCTAATGACCCATAATTTCTAGGTCATGACTTTAATAAGCTGCATATCTAGAATTATTCTGCCAATCATGTAGCGGAACTTTTAATAATATTTATCATGGGAGAGTATACTTGATTATGGGTTTCTGCGTGAACCCTTAGGCTACATACTCGCTTTATATCTCACCACCTTGTCATTCTTGTTTTTCCTTTATACAAACACCATTTGTAACCTACATGGTTAATACTTCAATGGTGTATAAAAGGATTAGCGAGTTGAGTTATATATGCCTTTAATTGCTCTCTTTATACGTTAATCAATCTAGGCGCTTCTGGCACCTAGCTCTGGATCCAGATTGTCGTATAATATGAGCAATTTTGAAGGCAACTGTGTTGTCGACAACTTATAATATTTTCAAGAATTTCTCCCATATATATATATAAAAGTAATTTTCAAAGTTAACCAGATTATAGCCATTTCCCAAGGATATTTATATCTGGTTGTTCCGCAACCCAGTATTATGATTATTTGGTGCACCTATAAATTTACTGGGTTTTCTCGTCTTCTGGACGATCGTTATAAAGATATAACTTTTTTAAGATTTTCAAGAGTGACATAAATTCTTTACTAGATCTAGTTGATTCTTTATTTTTCTATCCCAATGAGTCTCCCGCACTTCTGGCGTCAAGGAGTATTGATAGATATCAATAGTCCAATTTTGGGGAATATGTATGGGACCTAGTCACTCTTTTTATGAAATAGATTATTTGACAGATTTTTTTATGAACTTCTGGTTCAATCTAATTGGTACGTGGATTTAATTTTTTGAAGATCATTTCATGAAATTTCTCGGCATTCTATTTCAATTTTGATCATATCTCCCCCTAATGCCGTGAACCGATCTTCATGTAGTCAGCGTATCCATCGCGTCTCTTTTAGGGGCTTTAAATATTGGAGACAACAAATGGAAGTTTAGATGGATACACTATGGTGATTATGTAATAGACTGGACTGCATTCATAATAATAGAAACGCAGATTTGGGAAATGTTTGTTTGAAAACCACGTATTAGATGTAAGGGGGAATAAAGATATGCAGTGTGCCGAAATTTTTACCATAAATATTGCATTTCCCCACCAAGTATTCGGCACATTGAAATTTTGAAAATAATGGTTTAGTGATAAGCCATAACTTTATTAATTAGCTAAACCATTTGGGTATGAGCATAAGGTACTTGATACTCCGCCTTAATTCTTAATGTCATATAATAATCGTCGAAAAGTGGACGAAGTTCATAGGATAATCTGAAAATTAGGCATTATCCATAAGATACTAGATCATATCCTTCTTTTTAGATTATGAAGAGCGAGTAACATATGTCTACTCACCAGATGAAGGATAATTGATCAAAGTAGGATATTTGATCGAATGAAGGCATTTCAATTTTAAAAGATTGATGGAGTAAAAGTGAAGCTCTACCGGAACCCACAAAGGAAACCTTATCAATAATTGCAGGAAGAAGTTAGATGTTTGTATAAAGATCTTCCAAAATAAAACATCACTGAAATGATGTTGAATGAAAAAGTAGGTCATCAATATAACCAACAAGAGCGTTTGCTTCAGGCAAGGCAACTTGATTGGATTCAACATTGTGATGTTCATTTAGGTTTCAACAAACTGCTTCGGGATGTGGCACGCACGTGATCGGTGCCTTTTTAACCAACAATTGAAGCATATTTGCTGCTGGGCCAGAGTTCTAATTGTATGAAAAATGGTTATCCTCGACGAGTTGGATCATTTTTGCTTTTTATTCTGGTTTCGGGAGTTATTGTTTTTGCCACCTTAGACTTACCTCTTTCCCGTCTTCTTCCTCAGCCCCTTTTAGTGTTGCACAATTAGGTGACGTCGTGTGCTTCGGGCACCGGTGCAGAACCAACTGGGCATGCACTATAGATTTGCGTCAACCTGTGGTTGTGCTTTTACATTCATGGGAGGAGGGTGGTGTGGAAAAGAAGACAAGGGCTCGCCAATCAAATTCGTGCCAGAAAAAATATTCTGCTTACGCAACTTTAGTTGGGCCACAATTTTGCGTATAGTTGATTTAGAATCAGGAATTTGATTTAAAGTTTTGAAAGATCAAGTTAAGGCAGTCGAATTGAGATTTTAGAAAGGACCAATGAATATGTGCTAGTCAAATTTATCCTTCGGGGATTTCTATAAGGCATAACGGTCCTTTTATAAAAAGCTATTCATTTTTCATATGGTGGCGAGGGGAAAAAAAAAAGAAGAAAAATTAAGGCTTTTAGCTTTCAAGGCCTCATCGCTCGTGGACTTCTGAGTAATTGCTCCCATTGAAACCAAGCTCGGTGAATTCACACTCAATGATAGCAGCCAAGATCGAGATTTTTCAAAAAAAAATCTATATATACTAAGACTGGCTAAAAACAAGGGTCCACTTCTAAAGAATAATTCTCCATTCGCATAATAATAAAACTATATATTATGCAAGACAGAATATGCATAAGAATTCATCATATTATCCAAATAAATTGCAAAAAAAAAAAAAAAAAACAATTTAACATATAAGCATATTCAACAATAATACTCAAATAATAGGCCCAAAATAATTTTTATTAAAGTGGACCATGCCTGGTCAAATTGGGCCAAACCCGGCCCAACCGATAAACCATTGCTTTGTTTTATTATCTGCAAAAACCTAGCAGCCAGACAGAAAAACGAGATAGACGCTCGAGAGGGAAAGAGTCGCGCAGTAGCAGAGAGATCGTCGGCCACCACCACGGCCCGAGCCTTCATCACCGCTTATCGTCGCCGATAAGACCGAAGGTCTACCGCCGATCGCCATTACCATTGCCAGAGCAGCGCCATCTCCGGAACGGCGCCACCTTCATCTCAGAGTAGCGCCGCCTCCAATCGCCCAACGTCGACGCACAGAGCCTCGTTCAATCGGCAGATCGGAACCGCCATCGCTAGAACTCCGGTCACTCTTCCATTTTAGAAGACGAAACAATCAAAACCAAGGGCCACACTCGCCAGCGTTCGATTCGGTTTGCACCTCCGGCACTCGTTCAGATTCGCCGTCACCGTCCGACGGATCGCGGATTATGTTTTCGGTTTTTTTTTTTAATTAAAAAAACAGTTTTGTCTTTGATTTTTTGAGAGACAAAAATATACGCAGTATGTGCTCAAAAAAACAAAAAAAATCATATATGCACATAATATCTAGGATATATTTCGTATGTTTTGTATGATTATGATTATGTATACTGAAAAAAACATACATTCATAGGCAAACAATTATCTAAAATAATATAATCTTAGAAATATATCCACAGAACACAATTATGATTTTTCTACCGCCTAATAACAAATATTACCGTTCACCGCAGTAGAGCGTGCTGATAACGTGTTGTAATGTTGTTTGTGCCCGTTAGCTCCTACCGGTGAGTTGTAGCATTTGTATCAATAATATAAAAGATAAAAGTAAAAAATAGAACAAGAGATATGGGTGAAAGAGGAGTAAAGATTTCATTATACCAACCCCACATTTGAGTACAAGGAAGTGATATATATAATACATTTGTAACGGAAAGCAGTAAATGATAGATATAAATATGAGCGTTACAACTGTTACAAAAGCTACTCATAATGTCCACATTATTAATATCATTTATAACAAAATTAAATAAAGAGGCGAGAGTAGAGATTGAAAGTTGCAGTAATTTGGAAGGAGCTAGCTTAAATTGGAGTTAGATATTCTATCAAGAGATAGAGATTAATTCTGACAAAATTTGAAATTTGAGATTGCATTTTTCCAACAGACAAAATCTCAAGCACCTATACAAGGATGAAGCCAAGGCAATTGAACACAACAAGTGAACGAGAGCTACACAAGAAAAATATACAAGCAAGTGAAAATCAAAAGAGCATGCAAATATCTTCATCTTAAAGAGAGACTTAGCTACACACTGATATATTCATTTAGAAGTCTCAAAGTTGGAAGAAAGAAAAATCTTGTTTTTCAACAAGTGGTTTCTCTACCAGAATGTAGATAGAGGATAGTAGCACGGAATTGTAAAATCCTGGTGTGAGTGCTCGAGGCATTGGAGTTGTGTGGTTAATGTGGGCTTGGTGATCAAAGCACTAGATCACAAATTCATTGTAT